CCCCCCCCGTCTTGACTTTTTTTCACTTTGATTTACCTTCTCCTCTGTGAAGCTGGAAGTCAACTAAAGGACTAATGATAACCATCAAAACGCCTGCCATTTGATATAAATAATTCATAGCACACATAGCTTTAGTTCTGGTTTTAAAATAATTATTCTTTCTAAAATTAAATTTATACCAGTTACTTTAATAAAAGTCAAAGCTAGATTTTACTGTTAGGAATGTTGTATTGCTACTGGGATTTGTGTCCACCGATATCTGCCATAATGCATACACTACACTTTGCCTAATTTACCACCTGTAATTGTCAGCCAATCCGTATGTCCTATACATCCGACCAATCATAGGTGAAATAGTCTACCGGTGGTATTAAATCTTCTAAAGAATTAGATCAGAAGTAATTGAAGAGATCATAAATGTAACAGAAATTTTGCATTACTCTCAGTTGGAAGTTCCATGTCTGCCGATGAAGACGTCATTCATAAGACCGGACCCACCTATAGCCAGGTCTCGACAAGACGAATAAATGAAAGAAAATTTCACCATAACCGTGCCTCTAAAGTATGGGAAGATAGATTTCTAGGAAATCCACCACCAACGTACAATCCTCGAAACCGAACATACTCTCAAGTTTTCGGAAAGAGACATAGCTTCGCAGGTAGATATGCAGGTTCAAGGTACACTAGTGCAGAATCCATCCCTAGAAACCTACTCAGAACTGGATCCCAAATAAGTAGTAGTGTAAATAGTATAAAGGAGCATCTGTTTACAATGATTGCGCCTGATGACAACAAACTTTGCTTAAAATTCTTTGGAACGAAGCGTGCAGTTCACTTGGAGCAACAGAGACTTTTTAATCAACATATCTTGGTCATTCATCCCTACAGTTGTTTCAAGTAAGAGATCCTACATTTTGCCTTTATAATTTATGCATTGAAATTACCGGGTTTTACAATGGATTTTATAGCATTTTATTTACCTTTTAACAATTAAAGCAAAATCTTTGCAAATAAGTTTCATGCTATGGAATATTTAGGGCGCTAATGAAGGAATGGATTAGTTGCGAGCCATTTTAGAAGCAAACAAACCTCAATGTTTTATTATGTTGATGGCGTTTTAAATTATTTCAAAAAGTTATTATTTCATTTGAAAGGATTTAAAGGTGATAAAATAATAGCCTTATAAATTGCGCAAGAGCCAAACAAAGATAATATTTAAGCCAAAATTATAATTTTAAACAAAAAAGGTGCATTGTTTCACTTCAGAATTATTAACTTAACCCCATTAAATGGGTCAGCTTTAACATTCTAAGTGAGAAGGTAACACCTATTCGTAACAAATTTGAATGCAACTATTTCGAAATACCACAGTCTATATTGTTGGCAGGGGCAATTTTTTTCTAGGAGAAAAAGTGCTTGATAAAAGAGAAGATCCGTCTAGAATGAAACTGTCAATAATTATGCAAAGGCTCTATAGTGGATCAGTCTTGTACGCCATTTAAAAAATTTCACAAAGTTGCATTGTACTATCTAGCTTCCGTCTTGTCTTCTCGCTTTATTCGCTCCATTCTCGCTCGCTTATTCTCGCTCCATTTAAATCAGAAGGGCAAAATTTTCAATGTAACAGGTTAATTAAAGACAAATTAATGTTGAAAGACATTGATTTTCTAATTTCAATAATATCAGTTAAGGTAGATGAGGTTATTTTTTGGGTTGTAATTAACTTGTTATTTCAAAGCTTTCAGCAATAGTAATTATGATAAATTAATACTACAAATGTGAGTGAAGCATTCTTTCCTAAAGTACATGCGACTAGCTATGAATTCAAATGCCCATTCAACGACATGTCAATTTGAAATACACTTGATACACATGATTTTAATGTCCTGTACTGTTATAGCACTGCTTAAAAAAGTGCACACTTTTTTGTTAGCTTTCTATAATGTATTTTATTGAGATTGTCTTGCATGCAGTGTGTCCCTAATATAATATCAATGTGTAATATTTTACTACCATACTAAAATTTCGGAACAAATCGATGCAGAAATATTTGTATTCAATTACATACATTTTGAATTTTGAACACCCACTTTCATTCTTGATCAATATTTCAATCCATATCACCATGTTTTTAACATTTATTATGACTTTTAAATTAAATTATACCTAATTAATAAACAATATCGGTATAGCATGGACATAAGCAAAATTTATCAATCGGGGCTATGAATCCACCCAATTATTTATTAATTTTTTTCAAATGACAGGCGTTTTGATAGTTATCATTAGCCCTTTAGCTGACTTCGGGCTTCACAGGGGAAAGGAAAATCAAAGTAGCAGAAAGTCGAGGGGTGAGGAACAGAAGAGTGGTTTACAGATGTAAAGAAACAGACATGAAGGCAGAGAAAAGGTAGGATGAGTACTACGCTAGAAGTCAATCGCCAGTTAATCGACTTTTTTGTCGTATGAGTATACGTTGTCCAGGGTGCACCACGTGGAGGAAAGTCTACCACGCAACCCTCCACGCAATTATAGCAAATACAATTTATATGTAACATGAATTCTAGAGGGTATTTCATAAACACTTAACCCTGCATTGCCTTTGCTAATTTTTATCATGCTGGGAGTAACCGTTGAATGGTAAAACCAATTTTCCTTTAAAGAACAGACTTATGGAACAGGGGTGGGCTCAATTTAGTATTATCGTCTGTTCTATCAACGCCTCAAATCATAAGCTATTAGATATAAAAATCAAAAGCGAATCACGCTGTTGGTGTACCTTAGATTTCTCAGACTACTCACAAAATATCGCTTTATTAATTTCAGAATATATTGGAATGTTACAATGCTGGTATTGCTAATGGCGAATTTAGTGAGTTTGCCTATAGCAATTGCCTTTAATCTGCCTTATCGGACACCAACGTGGATCGTGTACAGTTGCTGTTCGGATATTCTCTTCTTCATTGACATTATTGTCAACTTTAGAACAGGTACCTTCCAAGTATTTCGACAAACGAACTTCCTTTTTGAAAGTTCCATAAATATTCCTAAAATTTAAAAAAAATATCGCTGTGCAAAGGGAATTTTAGAAACATAATATTTTATATTAATGAGAATTCAAAAAGGAAATTATCACCTTGAAAAAAAAGATAACCCTAGGGGAGCGAATTTGCAATTAAAAGGCTCAATTTGCATTGTTGCTGACATAAATAATTCTTATAAAATTGAAATATTTTACTTAAGAATTCAAACTCGCATTCTGAACTAACAGTGATAACTTTCACAAATTTTTTTGCCTGGACATTTTGGAAATATGATAAAATTAAGGTATTATTATTTATTTGTGGAAGATCTAAAATATCATTCGTAGATCGACACTTTATTCTGTTTAATGAGAAGATATGTTTGAATTTGGTCGACATCTATAGAGGAAGGGTTTAGTGAAAGAGGAAGTTGAGTACGAAGTAATTGAGGATAATCTTACAATTAACGTTGTGATTAATTTTGATATTATTAGTATTATTTCAAATGGCGAGCTTTATGACATTTATCATTGGCCCCTTAGTTGACTTCGGCTTTCCCAATGGGGGGTAAACATTTATATAAGCTTTTGGTAGATAAAAGTAGTTCATTGGTTGTCCTCTGGCTTCCCAGTATCTCTGGATTTCCGTCGCTGTCTTTAGGGTAGGACACCGAATCAGGTGGGTCTTCTCCATTTCCTTCTCTTTTCCACATAAGGGCATGTTGGTTGAGTGTATACTCCTAATTTTTGAAGGTGCTTTCCTCTTCTTAGCAAGTGCGTCAGCATGCTCATTGCCTTTAATGCCACAGTATACTATTAATGATATATGTAAGGTTAAAATTTTGAGTGTATTTTAAATTACAGACTGTATAGTCGGTACAGGTTGACTCAGTAATGGCTAACTTTGTGATCCAAACTTAATGTCATTTTATATAAGTTTGATTTGTACAGATAATTGAACTGAAGCTTGGATAATTAGATAAAGTTAATTGCTACTTGAGATCAAACGATTATGAGGCAAATTGGGAAATACAGACCTTAATATTTTTTCTAAGATTAAATCAAAATCAAAATCGCACCATTCTAACATATAACCTAAAGGGCATTTTTAATCATATAATCAAACTGATAAAATTGACATAACTCTTAAGTGGAAGAAAAATATGCAATAGATTGCAATTTTGAGAGGTAATTCCTTCTTCTCCCCGTGAATCAAGCGCAAATCTGACTGCATGAAGAGGAAAACAATCTTGAATAATTTTTCATTTTATTATGCTGTAAAGAATATTTAATTTATTTACATTTGTACATATTGAAATGGAAGGAAATCCATTTGCCATTTGATATCCAACAATTGCAGTTGAAGATAATCAATAATAAGCACATTTTTTTATTATGAAGTTACTAATATGAATGTTTTTTTCAGGTTTTGTCCGAGAGAGCATGGCCGACGACATTGTACTCGAACCCAAGTTGATCGCGCGCGAATACCTGCGAAAGTGGTTCACTCTGGATATTGTCTCATGTCTTCCACTGGATTACATCCTTCATGCCTTCGATGATGGCACTGAACAAATTGCCCAGGCTGGTATGTCAAGAAAATCATCAAATTACTTCCCCTATTAAGGAAACATTTATTTATTTATTTCAAATGGCTGGCGATTTGACAATATCATTAGCTCTTTAGCTTACTTCGGGGCTTCACAGAGATGAGGAGGAACATCAAGGTGACGAAGAATCGAGGGGGGGGATAGAATAATCATTCAAAGATATAAAAGAGACAGACAGACAGAAAGGCATAGGAAAGGTAAGGTGAGTACTGTGAAAGGGGTCGAATATGACAATCAGGGGGGTCGTGGTAGTTTGAAGTCAGAAGTCAATAGCCGATCAATAGGCTTTTTTGCCATATGAGTATACGTTGCCCAGGATGCACCACGTGGAGGTAAGTCTATTGCGTACCCCTATTAAGGAAACATGGGATATAATTCACACGGAATGTCAGTTAGAAAAGCACCAACTTTAGGCAAAGGTTTCATTAAATACATTCCAAAACATATATATGGGGAATGGAGTCTTGCCTTAACATGATTTACTGAGTGTCTCCATGGTGACAAATATTAAAGGAAATAAGTAATTATTGCACTCTTTTCATAAATTTAAGGATAACGGGCATGCTTCTTGGCCTTGTCATGATATCTGGATAGGATGTAGACTGCTGTTATATGTTTTTAATATTCAAACTGACCAAAATATTATATTCATGTTAGCATTTACTTACGAACCAATTTTTGTCACTCAGTCACTCATTCGTTTGCGCTCTCTCGAAGGTGAGATGATGATTTACCTGGTAATGGCAAATGAATTTGCAGTCTGAAGAAAGAGAAGTGAATTTTGCCCAAACTTTAAGTAAACAACATTTCCTTTTGTAGGCCAAGCGCTTAAAATTTTGAGGTTGGCTAAGTTGCTCAGTCTTTTACGCCTTTTGCGATTATCGCGGCTTTTACGATATGTCGGTGAATGGGAAAAGGTAATTTCCTATTAATTAATCAACCTCCCCCCATCACCCTTTAAATCTTCAAATCGAGGAAGGCATTTTGCTTGCGTCTCTAGATTATTTAGTAGTTAATTAGGTTTATAAAGTGAATCAGTAAAAACTATCGTAAATTAATGAAAGGTGGTCCCGCATATCATTGGGTTATTTGGCAAAAATAATCAAGTTCAACGAACTTGTTTCCTTGACTGCAAATTTCTCGAACATTAGAAACTTCTGACTATTTTGGAAACAGTTTCGCTTAAAAAGTTACTAGTAAATTTATACATCATATGAACGATTACTGAGATTAATTTTCTAAATGAGATTTAATAACCTTTGATTAGTCAATTTAAGTTAGTGGTAATATCCCATCCCTTAATATTTCAACACGTCTGACTACTTCTGATTTGAGAGAAGTCAAAGATATTCCTAGACCATTTCATTGTATTTCGTGAAGGGGGTAGATGATACCATCCTCGAAGTGTCTGAAGGTTAAAAATTTGGTTGAGACTAGGCTAACTCCAGTACGATTGAAATGAGCTCTGACCATCACGATAGGAAAGGATGACATATCTGCCTTTGCGTCATAATTAGGCCATTAAATCAAGCATTAATTACAATAATTTTGGTTAGAATATTTAAACACAAACCAGGAATAATAAATAGAATAGGTATGACTACAGCTTTTGATTTGAAATGTTATCACAATTATCGAAATATTTATTGCCAATAATAAAAGAAAACCGAAGTCTATTTTTCACCAATTTTTTATTCTAATTTCATTATTTACTTCTAACTTAATACATTCATCCAATCAGATTACAGGTATATGGCCAGTGATTTCATAAACAAATATTCCTATCAGTGTAGTTCAAAAATTTGGATGTTTGTAATGTGAAATCCATAGCGTTTGGCATTTTCTTTGCGGTCAAGGAAAATACGTTTGTCAATCAATTAATTGTTTCTTCAAGGAAGGCTTTTCTGAATAAGGCTCATTACCTAAAAATGGACAATTGACAGTGAACTTATATGTGGATCGGTGTGGCTGAAGGTGAACTGATCACCACAAACAACAAATCAATAACACCATCTTGAACTCTGCCTCTCTGTTATGTCTGCAAATAATTGTATTTGGCTAATCTTATGTACATTAGTAAAACATTTCCGAATTACATTTACAGAAGAGTTAAAACTTACTATAGCCAACAAAAAGGGTTATTTTTCTATTTTTCACTGATAGTTTATGAATATCGCGGGAAAATTTATTGGAATATTGAAATTAATCCTATTGATGCTAATGTTGGGACACTGGAATGCTTGCCTTCAATTCTTCATTCCAAGTCTAATGGATTTTCCAATCGATAGTTGGGTAGTCAAATGCAGACTTCAAGTAAGTCAAAATCCCATTTAATAGAGAGTTTTTATAATTTTCGCTTAAACTAGCCTTTTAAACTTTAATGGCGCTTCAAACAAAATATCTATATTTTTACTAACTCCTTAGTGTATATCTTTATTGTTGAGAATGATGTTGAATTCATATTTAAAGATGCTGATATTAAAGACTGTTGGGGCGATATTTTTATGCGTTTGATTGAATTAATACTGTCTACATATTAAATACCTGAACTAATGTGATTAAATCAAAACCACAGTCTCTTCCTTGAGATCGATAGTGGTAGGTGAAGACTTCACTTATTCTCCATTTTCATCAAGAACCTCGACTCCATTATAATAAATTCAATCCTTTACAAAATAGCCTCAAAATCCTTGGACTTCAAATATTCGATGTAATCCTTTGAAGCAGAGCCTACTTGTATGAACTACGTTCTTTATCGTTCAATTAATCTTGGTCCGTTAATGAGAAATCACTTAAAATAAAATTAAATATAAAACAAGCTCTGACGCAATGGCTGGTAGCATTGCAACGTCTAGAAACATGGGAAACGCAATAACACGTAATCGATATGGAAATGTAAATTTGATTTCAGCTTTAATGTATTTCAATTCTCTTATGATTTTAGTCTTACATTACACAATATTCTCAAGGTTAAAAGTGCAAACTAAAATATAAGAGATCACTCAAAATTGCCCTCCATTTTCATTACGGGGAAGCATATATATATATATATATATATATATATATGACACAGAGAATAAAGGCAAGATTTTTAGATAGATTTATTCTTGAAAGATTAAAATGCAACTCCAGTATTCACTTTAAATTAATCAATAAGCGCATTTACGAAATTATTCGCCAAGATTATTAATAATGGAGGTAAATTTGCGCATATGAGCAATTGTAGAACCTTTTATGCCCAATTGATATTTAACACATGTCACCTTTAGCATTAATTTGTTGTAGGAAATGATTGAAGTATCATTAAGATTTATCGAATTTGGAGTTTGCTGCTAAATAGTCTGATTTTGTGGAAATGTTCACCTCCAAAATAATAATATTGATTGTATTTGGGTTATAGAACTCCCACTGGTTTGAGCAGTACACATGGGCTTTGTTTAAGGCCTTATCTCACATGCTCTGTATTGGCTACGGTCGTTTTCCACCAAATGGTCTAGTGGAGGCGTGGATGACCGCAATTAGTATGATGGCCGGTGCAACGTGCTATGCTTTGGTTGTGGGTCATGTCGCAGCTCTCATTCAATCCTTTGACGTCTCCAAACGACGGTACAGAGACAAGGTAAGGAGTATAATTTTAGTGCCCATCCTAATCTACTTTTACCCATCCCGACACTCATAAATTTAAATCATAATCCCGATGAAGATAAATTGATGTGAGCAATATTTACCCAAAAATAGCTTTCACTAAAATCGTTTGTTGTGAATTATGTGAAAATTTCGTACCTGATTTTGGGCTATTGCAATAGATATTACGGAAGTTATAATTTGGATAGTTTTAAAAGTAAAATGAAAGGATATTGAACCTCAGCAAGCAAGACTTAAATACATATACTGCTAGATTTTGGTATGATTCAAAATTGTTTAGTCAACCACTTCTTGAAATTAGTCCTTATGAAGCGTTAAAACACAAATATACGATTTATTCTTTGGTTAAATAACTTAATCTAATTACGTTTAATACGAAGCGTATTTGAGAATCGGTTTGGAACATCTTAGTATTTTTTCTTTTAGAAGGAGAGTGAGACTCAACCCAAAAAATTATAAATTTTTTCTCCATAGTGCTCTGTTTAGACCACTTTTATTCCAGGAAGTGTGGTTATTTAAAATTTGTCAGTCTGCACACTTTCTTCATGACTCGTCATGGCCATTTCTTGATTGTCACCCTTTTACAACAGCGATTGTGTAGACGGCATTTTCGTGATATATTGTCGAACTGCTCTATATAAAACATGTCAATAATATATTTGAATCTTTTGCAAATCAGAAGGATTCTGTATGTGAAATGCATCTCTACCTATGGTTTAACTATAAAATCAATGCAGAACATCGCCTCAGAGCTCCTGACAGTAAAATCGTGAATGCATTTTAAATGACAAATAAGGGAGAAGCGAACCAATTGTAAGTCAAACACACATGTTTAAGGATGAAATGTCTGTAAATAAGAAAAAAACGCTTTGGGGTCTGAACCGTGAAGAATGATAAGACCGGGCCTAACTTATAGACATTTGGTGTTAGCAAGGGTAGTATTAAAGAACCGTGTTAGAAGAAATATTGAAGTAAGTGCTAAATCAAACGAATAAGTTCTCTACAACAGTGTGTTTACACATAAATTTCATTTTTTCTTTGAATCACTGATTTTACTAATGTTTTAAATAGAATATTTGATCTTGCAATGCATATTTAGCACCATAGTCCGTGGAATGCCCGTAGCACTTATATATGTCAATTGTACGTTGACAATAGTACAATTTCGGCAAATATTTACAAATAATACACTGTTATCGTAAATATATTGCACTACGATTTCCAGCAATTATAATAGACCCAAATAATGATAATCAAGATTAATTAATTTCTATTTTTCCATTTTTCTTTTATATTTAGTCTCATTAAGAAAATTGTGACTTATCATTGACCTTTTTTTATTTTAATTTTAATTTCAATAGATACTTTATTTTGATAAATTGGTTATTTGTTCTTCAGATAATTGATTTTTGGGTATGCAAGTTATAACTAAATCCACGTTGCAAACCAAAAAACTCAACTCACGTTTATTGACTTAGCAATGGCCACTGAGCTAATTTCAGTCAATATAATGAATAATTCCTTCATGTTGTTCTTTGACGCAATGGAACAGTCTTTTCATCTAGCAAAATCAACTTAACCATATCTCACGTTTCTGAATATTTTGAGAAGTAGTTGAAAATTAATTTATTTATCCGCAGATTCAAGGTCGTTCTTGTCTTTGTTTGCACATGTAAACACTTGGCATTAGTTCTATTCCAGCCAGATTCAATTTTCCGATTTTGAAATTTTATACCTAAACTCTATGAACGGATTTCTCTAAAAATTTCTATCTTCAGTATTTAGCACTTTCGAAACTATTTGTCAAAATGAGCAGACAATGATGGCCTTCAAATCAATTTACATTTTATGGGAAAAATACATAGGTACACGTAACTACTAAAATTATTGTAATGACATTCAAACAGTATAGTCGACTATTTGATAAGCTTCGAATATGGCGCTTACGACGCCAATTAGGTAAACAAAGGACAAATTGTCTTTCTGGAACTTCTCAATAATTACATTAAAATCTGCGCAATTAAATATAATTAATATACACACGTGAAATCGAAAATCAACATAATTTTAACTATTTTACAGCAATTCAACCACTTATCAAATTAACATATTCGTATATACTACTTTATATACAATACTGTCAAAGCTGTTATATTAAATAATATAAAGAAATAGCTTTGTTGTAATTTTGCAGATGAAACAAGTTGAAGAATATATGTCATACAGAAAACTACCTCGTGAACTTCGCAATAAGATTGTGGATTTTTATGAGCATCGCTACAATGGAAAATTCTTCAATGAAACTGAGATTTTACAGGAAGTTTCTGAGTGCCTACGAGACGTAAGATTTACCATTTTGCTCATTTTTCAAACCTGTAATTAAGTTTAAAATAGTTATTTGCCTTCTTGAAGGAATAAAAAATCAATAAATAAATTAATCAATACTCGTTTGTTCTATAAAATTATTTAATAATTCAAATGGAACTTATCCCCTCAATGAATTTCGATCATCTTAATTAATTTTGCTCGATTTGTTTCGTGCGATAGTTTTATTTCAAAGCTTATAGGTTAATCCGCTTTCTAATAAAATGAAACCTCTTTGCTGCTGAAAATTTTATTCCAAATGATTTTGTTTGCAACCCGTAGTTCCGATTCACCCTTGAAATATCCTGAGGCACAAGTTCGCATGTAATATAATTTCAAGGATTTTCAGCATTAATGACCTTTTCTCAGCTTAACCCGTCAATTGAAAAGACGGTATGTTATGATTTTAGAAATTATTGATCAGCATTGGAATGACTGAGAGTACTTCTTTACAACGCTCAACAGTGTTCTTTCTCATCTCTCTCTGGCTCTAATTATCTCATTTCATATAGTGATTGAGCGAAATCTGCAGTCTCACCTGAAGCCTAATCTTTAAAATTGCTTAAACTTTAAATCATGAAAAGTATTATTTTTTGGCAAAATGATGAATCTTAGTATATATTGATGTTTTTTCAACTATTTATTTACTACCTCTACAATTAGGCCATGCAACGTAAGCCGTTTAAATGATGGCCCTTTTGAATTGTGCACCAGATTAAAGATTACTGAGTTAGCGCCAAAATTCAGCCCTAACAACTTTCAGGTGGGTTACATTAACAAAGGCATAATTGCATAAGATAATATTGGATGAGTATTATTCCGTTTTAGGCTAATAAAACAAATATTTTTGTTAACAAAAATTGTAAGGCTACCCTATGGGTGAAGCATTATTAAGGTCATTTATGTTTACATATTCACTTTTACATATTATGGCATTCCATTCCTAAATATAAGCATTGACGGCATTTTGCTGTTTGATTTGTTTAGCATTTTAGAAATATTCAAACCTAAAGTAATATGCACATTTTCGGAAAATTGTTTATCCCTATTGTACTTAAAAAAAACCTTCCCTTCTACAGTTTAAGCTTCTGCAAATGTTAACGAAAACCAACTCTGTATAATTCATAGAGAAATGATTTAAACAGAAACAATTATTTTATATTAATGTTGCTGACTCATGGTAAAGTAATATTTTGTTTATCTTTATCGAAAATTTCACAGCAAATAGTAAATCACACGTGCAAATCTTTGGTTGCTGCTGTGCCTTTCTTCAAAGATGAGGATGAAAATTTTGTTCTTGATGTTCTTCATCGCTTGAAATTCGAAGTCTTCCGCCCTGATGATATCATTATAAAGTATGGAACGTTTGGTACAAAGATGTACTTTATTCGTGAAGGCACTGTTGAAATCTTAATTCCTGATGGGACTGTATTAAACACTCTCTCGGATGGGGCCTACTTTGGTGGTAAGTCATTCTTAGCCCCGCAAATAAATTATAGTTATTTTCCCAACAATTGAAAGACTTAAGGGGATATCTAATTTATATTTCAAATCAGCAAAGAACATTATGCAGCTTGATATTTGCATTTGCTATTCTAATAAGCACCTCCTGACAAAGCTTTGAAAATTTTAAATATTTGAGAAGTTTGTATGATAATATATTTTAGTGTGCTTTCTGCGTCACTGATGTAGCAATCGGGACTATTATATATAACACAACCTATATGGAAATATAATTTTTTAATTTTTTTAAAACCCGATCCTGTTAAGGTCAATCTGAGCAAGTCATAAGATAGAGCAGAATCATAAATTGCAAATTTTTTACACTATGAGGTCAAGTCAACCCACAGTATAGACTTGCAGTAATGTGAGCAGAATTAATAGAAAATTAAGCATGCTTCCACAAATTAATTAGTAAGAAACCAGGCTATAAATATTAATATTGGCACTTAAGTTCCTATGGAAAGTTATTTTAAATATTTCTATTTGTCATTTCGATAATTAAATAGCTAAAATGAAGGAATCTAAAGTGATGAAGTTATGGTTCGGCTTTTTTCAAAAGCAATTATTTATTACTGATTGCTTTCTTTATCTTAGAAAAGCTATTCTATTTGAAACATTTTGGTTTATCTTATTATTGGATCAAATTTTTTTGATAATCGTTTCTTAACTGCATCAAATGGTTAATATTTGACCATAAGACAGAAACATACAGCAGAATAATTTTTAATAATTTAAACAATCCATACTAAATATAAAATATAGATTTTTCTATGGGTATATTTCACAGTCATAATGTGAGTTTCTAATTCAGGAAATTTTATTCTGTTAGCTGCCAAAGATATTTTCGAAACTCTATTATATTCAAAAATATTCTCGCAAATGGAGTCATCTCATTCCTTCTCTCTCATAGGGGAAAGAAAATGTATTTTTTCCAGAAAAAAATAAAGACTGCATTTTATGGTAAACCGTTAATAGCAAATCTCATGAATATTTTGTCAGTTTGATTTTCCCAATGCAATCAACTTGGGGAAATTGAGTTACATTTTGATAATCTAATATTCGTATGCCATATTTTCATAATTATTACTTACCAAATGCAATTAAATAGATTAGCAATAAAAAAGAGCTTATTTAATTCATAATTTATCATTAAGGATTTTAGTAAAACAGAAATGGCTTCACAAATGCCAATAGTGAAATTGAGAAAGGACATTAGCTGAATTTGATTAAATAATGGAAAGCATTATTACAGAAGTCTAAGCTTAATTGAACACTAAGATTTTACAATTAATTACTCACCATAAATGAAATAATCTCCTTTCACATTTCATATGCGTAAAATGCTAATCCTTTTTTTCCTTGTTAACACAGAATTTCTATCTGAGTTTATTAGTGCGATATTGTTTGTTGTGGCAATTTATTTCACATTTAGTTTACTGTAAGCATGGGATTTTCACGAGACTTGAGGTGTGAGCAATGCGTTTTAGTATTTGCTCGAACCAAATATTCACTTCGATCAATTCCGTCGATGATTTAGTAGACCTCAACCGTCATTTTGGCAGTTACGACAACTTCATCATAGAAAGTCGAAATAACATTCAAATAAAAATAAAAAAATTTCATGTTTTCTAAGGTCGAATTAATTATTTTTGCACTATATTATCTTTGCTAATATTGCATAATGAACAATTATGGGAGTAAACAAGGTTTTCAATTAGATGATTTCATTAGACTATGTTGGATTTAATTTAATTGTAAATTAAGATATTCAAAAACATGTGTGTACAACGGTTAGAAATATATTAAACTTTGCTTGATTAAAGTCAGATAAATGCTGTTATTGTTAAGCACTGTTTCTGTCAGAGAACAGCAATGACATTTAATATTCAATCATTTTTACCATGGAATTAAGAAAAATACAAAAGGTAAATTTAGTCAAGCAAAAATGAAAGTCTTTACAAAAACAATTTTAAATTTTAAAATCTTTTACAAATAATAAATTGTATAAATCAAGTGACATGTACAAGAATTCTCATTATTTTATGACGGCATATTTGATGAATGCCATTCTAGTATACAGAGCATTTTAAATTTGAAATCATTCGCAATTTGATGGCGTAAACGATTCTAATTACTCTTTCCAATTTAAAATTTATTTATTTATAGAAATCGCCGTCTTGACGAACATTCGAAGAACAGCAACTATTCGAGCTAAAACCTACTGCAATCTGTACTCCTTAAGACAGCAAGATCTTTTTGATATTCTAAAGAACTACCCTACCATCAAGTCCAAGCTCATGAATGTGGCCGGCGAGCGATTACAAACTCTTTCTAAAAAACGCGCATTCGACAACTGTGCTCATTTGTTTGACAAAGATTTACCGTAAGCAAAAAAAGCGTTAACACAAATTCTGCCATCTTTGTGTGCTGTTGACCTAGGGCTAATTAATCGCAATATATTGTCACCTCACGCATTTGCGATCCTAAGTTGAAAGTTTGTTTTGACTAAAAGGGAATGGGATTGGAATAGCAGATCTGGATAGATAGCATAGCGTTTTGCATACGCTAATACGGACTGCTGTGCTTTTAACCAATTAGTTACATAGATCAGAATCATTGCATTAACGCAAAATATATTAATTAATACTTGAAATAAACAGGTTAATGAATTTTGTGTAATTATATCTCTAGATAAATTCAATTTTGGTTGTAGTATTGTGTATATAGATCATTTAGTACAAATAGTATATATATATATATATATATATATATATATATTATTGCCACTAAAATTACAGTAAGGAAAAGAACTTATTCAATACTTTGAGTGATATTTATGCTGAATCAATTTTATCTAGTTAGATGAAGGTTTCTTAATATTTTTATTGAATGATTTTAGTTGGAATAGACATTGGTGGGTGAACAGATATGACTAAATTATAAAAAAATTAATTTGAAATAATAATTTGAGTTGACTTACTTAACAGCTCATTAAAAGTTATTGTTTTAGAAATCCGGATGAAGTTTCATTTACCTTTGAAAACGTGAACGCGGAAGCGGAGCTTTCAATGGAAAAAGATTAAATTTTGATCGTGAATGGACCACTCTAAGTGCCATTGTACTTCTATTTTTCTTAGTAATCGACTGATTCAAATATAGTTTTGATCCGTGAATTGCTAATCCATAGTTAGTGAACTACAAGTCTGTAAAAATGTTTTTTAATTTGATTGAATTGTGTATATGTTTCATTTATGTCCATTTAATAAAAGAGAATATGGGTTTGCGTTTTTCACTACTAATTCAATAAATGTGTGTGGAAATATAACAATAACTTCACCACTATTTGATAAAGGAGTTATTTTGAGGTAAAATAATATAGCCCTTCAAAAACTCTATTGTGTAGATTTAAACTAATTATAGTTCTCTCCACAACGTAATTAAAAACTAGGATTAAAAACAATAAATCCAAATGTCAACTTGTTAGGTCGAAAATGACACAAGTTTCTGAACCACGGCTGGCTCCGAATAGTGTGACACACCAGGAAGTTGAAATAGCTTAAATTAAAATAGTCAATGTTTGAAATTATTAAAAAAGGAAATTCGTGGCCAGAGTTAAGAGTTGTTGGAAATTAAGTTAATAAATCTAAGGAAAAGACTCAAAACCGTGACTGGTGATTTATACAATTAATTGAGTAAGGAAGTCTTATCTCCCCGCTATGATAAAAAATTTAGCCAGTTCTAACTTTTCCCATTCTCTAACTGTCTAAATCATAATCCGAAAGCTCATTTACTTTGGGAATTAGTAAATTCCAGAAATTACACTGGAATTTGCTAAGAATGAATTACTCAAATTAGCTTATCAACAAGGTAGATTTCAGCAAACGTAATGTTTAACAAGAACTTTGACTTTAGTTACCGTTAAATGTCCTCCTAAAGATTAGATGCAAAGGCAATTAGCAGGAGGGTGAATAAAAATTACGTGATCTGTTACCTTCTAGCTTGTAGCACAATTACTTCCTTTTGAATTAGCTCTGCCTGCATGGATCTACTTGGCACACCAACTACTGTAAATTTCAACACTCTCTAACAGATGCTATATTGATGAATAATTGGGAGAAACGACTCATTTCGAGCATATTATGAAAGTATACTGTTGGGATTAATGGCTACTTCCAAGGCGAATGTTCACAAAGTATTTATTTCAAATGGTAGGCGTTTAGATAGTTATCATTAGCCATTTAGTTGACTTCGGGCTTCACAGAGAGGAGGAGGAACATCAAAGTGACAAAAAGTCAAGAGGGGGAGGGGGGACAGAATAATGATTCACAGATGTAACAGAGACAGACAAGAAGGCAGAGAAAAGGTAAGATGAGTACTGTAGAAGGGGTCAAATATGACTTACAGTGAAGTGATGGAGATTTAATGTCAGAAGTCATTTGCCAGCTAGTAAACTTTTTGTCGTATGAGTATACGTTGCCCAGGGTGCACCATGTGGAGGTAAGTCTATCGCGAACCCCCTTCTACAAGATATTGCAAAGCTGCTAATAGTGTAAGGTGATATACATAACTGAATACTATCTTTCCCCTATTTTAGGCTTCGCACTATTTGCAATAATGTTTTCAAATTAGAAAGCTTATAATTTTTCGTTTTTGACACAAAAAGCAATGCATTGTCATGACCACATCATTTTATGTCGCTCAAGAAGCAAGTTCCTCGAAATATCTTTTAAGCTTAAGAGCTGCAATTGAGGTGATTTTATAAGATGTAAACAAATTTTTATTTGAACTACGGGGCGCTCATTCCCCTCTTAAGCGTGCACTTTTGTTCCTTACCCCAATTTCTAATCTAATTTCTCCCCAGGTAATGGTATGTAAAAGCTTTACTTGTGTGAACTCGTTTCTTTGTTCGACATTTTTAACATCAAAAAAAACAAAATAAATTCTTTCAGTAATTCAATCTTTAAGATTTAACCGCATTTTCTCGTTTTTCCTTCTGATGGGTTTATTTATCAGAGGCATACTGTTATATAGTTGGTAGTTGGAAATGAAAATTGATAATTATATGCGTGTTTTTTAATCGTACACATAGTTCCAGATACGAGATTTTAAAATAATGAGATTTGTTGTCTCAAATATAATATGATAAATAATTTGGATCATGATAATTTGCAAAAAAAATTTCATTTGGAATGGCTGAGTACTGTTCAATTAAATAATAATCTACTTTATCATCAACACATTGAACTATCATCTGAAATTATCTCAATCTAAGTCACTGATTGAATAATGCCATCTAATAAGCACTTAGCATTGTGGATTGGCAATTGTTGTAATTCATGAAGGGAAGTGAGAAATTCAGATATCGGAATTTGAACTAACAGGGATAACATGATAAAAGAACATGTAATACATTTTTATCGCTTTCTGCTTCTTTTTGATTTCTTGAATTTCTTTCATTTAATACTATTTGTTCTGCAGAATTAACTTGAATGCATTTTATAATAAAGGAGGTAATATAAATAAACGAGAAATCTTTTTGCATTGCGCTCTTATTCGTGAACGGAGAAATTATCCATTGTTTATTATCCCAGCTGTTAAAACAATCAAATTCAAATACCATGATTTTTATATGATTTTTGAATTTGTTTAAGTAAAACAAAGAATTGGTCAATAAGTGAATGTGTAACTTCCCGAATTTTCAAATCAAATCTTTTAATCCATAACTATCATTTTTGTCCCACATACAATATAAAATTGGTTTCTGCACTGTTTGTGGGTATATTATAATATCAATATGTGAAATCAACTTTTTATTCTTTATAAAATAGTCACTGCCTTTACCTTTTAACTTTCGAAATCGGGGTAAAAAGTAGTTATTTTCTTCTCCATCCCGGTCAAAATGAAGCAATATTGAAATCGTGTTGTATTTCTAAACGACGCAATATCTAATCTTCCAAAAGATTGACTATTCATCCTGTTGGAAATAACAGCATACGAGTTGTTTGAAAACTTTCCTAATGTTACAACAATTTAATCGATATTTTGTCTTACTCTGAATAAAATAATATGCACATATTTGTACAGACTGCTAAACGAATGAGCTTCAGCAAATTCTCATCAATATAAATGACTAAATCTAGTACTAGTGAATGGCTTCAGAAGTAACTGAGCTACCTTAAGGATATCGAGGAAAGAATTCATATGACATGCAATGCGACTACTGCGGATGTGATGCCACTGACACAGAGCTTGGTTACGGAATGCTATTTTCGATAAGATTATCCTGAAATGAATTTTTTTGATTGGTTAAGAGGTCTCTTCACTCATGACCTTATTTGTTTCCTAATACGCGCGGAATTTCGACGCACTTTCCGGAATGCTTGGGAACACATGAGATTCCTAATATACGATTTTTAAAATTAAATCAAATGTATGACTAATGGATACACAACTTCTGAAATGCTTAAAAACTACTATTGCATGTTGACGTATGATATGCAACAGAAAATTGTTTCCCAGCATTTTATTTGAAAGAACTTGTTCCAAATTTAATTTACACGAACAATTGAAGTATATGTGCAAAATTGTTTTAAAAAATGTAGTAAATAAAAAATAAAGTATTTTAATTTTAAATTACTCTAATTATTTGCTTTGGAAATGGATATCATTAATAGCAGAAACGTTTTTCCATGCTCTAAAAGGCTATTTATTCTTAACTCAGAAATTAGCCTACGATTTAAAATTTCAGTTAAATGTTACGCGAAAAGTTGTTCAACCTCAAAGCAGGCAGAGAACATGTGAGACAGAAAACTGCTTGAACATCGGTAAGGCTGCTACAGTCATTTCTGAAATTTATGTTCAAGTGCTTAAAGTCCACTCATGTTCATTTCTATTTAATTGCAGCTTAAACACGTTAATTAATTCAATAGAATGAAGGTTTTGATCCTAAAATACTAACTCTCCGAGAATATAAACCTTGAGTTGAGAAATAAGTACATTTATTTTATTGTCCTGACAACAAATAATGGGTTTACTTTACTCCAAATTATTATGAGGTACGGAATTAGAACATTTAAACCAAAGTTAGGGGGAAAGGTAATTTTTTTCAGATCAGTCAACCATCGGAAACTTCTTTCAGGTATTTGATGGGATGTGCGTGGAATAGACCATGCTCTTAGAGGCCATGGGTTTCGGAAATGTGTTTTTGGTTAAAAAAACACTGGAAAAAGTGCCTAATTTTAAAGACACCACATTATCAAAAGTGTCTTTGACACATATAAGGAAAGGGCTGAAATGAAAGGTTTAATCAGTTATCGTATAAATCATTTAAAAAAGAAATTAGAATTTACCTTTGTTTTAAGAATGAATTCGCAATAATTAATAAATGACATCCTGTAACTATATAAATCGAATAATTATAAGCTGGAATTAATTGTTGCCAACACTCTAACAGTCAAATCAGAATTCCCAGCTGTAACAATGAAAAAATATCCATAATTTGAATTATTTTTGACAAATAAATACATCTGTTTCAATACATATCTAAGGCAATAATGCAAAATCTTAATATCGCCTTCAAACGTGCATGGATTTCATTGTTTAAAGCTATTCAAATTAATATTCACCTATTCACATTGCTTTGAAAATTTTATTTGCTAATGATTCTCTCTAGACAGGACATTTTTATAGATTTCCAGGTGATTTTCCTGACGCCTTTACCTGAGGCAGAAAATAAAATAGCAGGTAATTAAATGAGTAATAAAGATTGTAATTCAATTATTCTCCCAAGGTTATTCAATTATAAGCTCTAGGAAATAAGTATCAGATCTTTAATGAAAGACAACTTTATCGGTATTTTTGAACAAAATTGACTGTTTGAGTATTATCATAATCGATTTCATATTTTTCACTGTTTTAACCTCGAATACACCGTAAA